GTTGAAATGTAATTGTATCACTGTATATATATATATCATCAATAATATGTAAACATTTGAAATGTATGTTAATGTTGTTAATTATTTTGTATTGTGATGCTTTGGCAACATTGTTTAATTTAACTTTCATGCCAATAAAGCCCCATTGAATTGAAAAAAAATTGAGAGAGAGAGAGAGAGAGAGAGAGAGAGAGAGAGAGATTGTTGTTGGATTGAGGCTGATAACTACAGCTCAGTGCGGTAAAGGACTCTGAGTGTTTAGATAGTTATCTTTAGTCTAAGTTATCTCAGTGGGTCTCAAACGGTTTGGTCACAATTTATGCAAACAAGGGACACCTTTATAATTATTAGGATAAATAGAAAACAGGTTTGAAATCATTCCTATGTATACTATACGACAGTAAACCAAAAATATCGTTTAAAACTGGAGGTATTAAAAAAAATGCATGAATAAATAAATGTTAACTGGTCAAATAAGATATGAATGAACAACAAAAATCAAATATGTTACATTTATTTGTTATTGGCTATGGTAGGCTATTGGTTATGTTCACATACTTATTTGATTATTAAAATGTACACCGATCTTTTTCATATGGGTGCTTTAGAGTTGTAACCCCTAGATCTATTATAATTCTGCACCAGATTGAAGCATTTTACTTAAAAACACCAAATCATAATCTCGCCTAGGGCACCAAAATGTCTAGGGCCGGCCCTGATAGTGACTATTTACACTGAAGATGCAGATGGATTCTTTTTCAATTTTGTCACTTTCACCACTGAACTGAGTGACTGTCTTTCCAAAAATATGTTCTTGGGACAGTGTTTGAACATTACACTCCGGATACGTTCATATAACAGCCCTTATGGTTATTTTAGCGCTATCAAATATTTAGTATAACTTTGAGTTGTTTCCTGCTGAAGCTTCTTTATAAATGACAAAGTGCTTATTGTCCAGCAGAATCAAATAGCCATAAAATGACTTTTGGTAGGTTTGAATAACGGCCTCATGCGTGGTCACATCTCTGCATGCTAATGTCCTTTTACTATTCCGCTGACAGCCGTTTTCCTTTGATATGCAAATGTTCTGATCGGAGCAGTTCAGGTCTTTTCTGTGGCTCTAAGCTGCTTCACTATAGGGAAGAATCTGAGGAATGTCCGCTACTTTTGGTTTTCCGATACAGCAGAAAAGTGTCATCAGGGGATGCTGTGGCGAGGTCCGCAAATGAGTATGAATGGCCTCTCTCCGAAGTAGTCAGCTCTCCTACCAAATGGAGGAATCAGGAGAGGGATTGTGGGATTGCTCTGACTCCTCTGGGTGGATATCCTTGGGTTGACATTGAGCCACAGCAGCAGTTTCCCTTATTGACTTCACAGGCACTGTAAGGAATGAGGTGTTGTTGTGTTGTGTTATCATTACCGCTGATTGTTGGTTGTTTTTCTTCAGGCCACTTAGGCTTAATTGCTCTGATGTAGAAGATAAAACAACCAGGTACAGCATTGTGAGACATTTTTAATCATTATTTCAAAGTTAGAGATGCATAAATATTTATTTAACCCGATTATTCAATATATAAACACACAAACATACATGCACACAATCACACTCAGTGGGATTGCACGTTACGATGCTCAGTATCATTGGTGTGTTGATGTGACGGCCTTGACTCCGCTCAGATAACAGCAGGTCTGCTGCGTAGGAGTTGGAGCATGCTTTCCATTCCCTCCTCTGAGAGTGAGAATCTCTGTTTTACCCGAGCTGTTGGTGTTCAGACGTGTTTAATATGGTGTTACCGTCTTTTTCCCTACAATTAAAACAACAACACAATTCTCTCATTGTTGGGTAGTAGTTTTTATCCGAAAATCCTCCTCCTATCCGCCTCAGTCTGCTGTCATTGTGCTTGGAAATTCCCCCCCAGATGGAGGTTGTTTAAGAATGTTTTTAGGGATTAGAGAAGCTTTAACGTCGTCTCTGCTCAAATGGCATGTTCAACCCTTAAGGCTACTAATTTCTCATCCGTCAATTGCTTCTTAAGCGAGGCAATATAATGTTTAAATTAGATTGGATAATTGCAGATGTAGGTGGCGCATATTTTAGTATTCTAAAGACACACCGAAAAAAGAAAATTCTTGTAACATCAGGTTTATCTCGATTAATCTCTCATGAAATGCTAGGTATGTTCTCTTACTGGTTAACATTAACATATTATTGGTTCATCTTGAACATATTATACACACATGAAGCCAACCAAATCTGATGACTAATTAAGCCTGTCCATCATTTAAAAACGTATGTTTCTAAATATCAGAAAAATAAAATACTGTTCAAGTTATAAATAAATGTTTAACTTGTTAAGCCCCATGCCCCAAAAGATATACAATATTGCACGAAACTGTGTCTCAGGGCTTCTTAAAATTTAACAACCTAGTAATGTGTCCCACTTAACGGGAAGAAACTCAGCTATCAGACAATATTAACCATTTTTAGCTAAACGTAATACCAAGCCTCTGAATTAGCACTAAGCGAAAAAATGCTAACTCACGGTAGGAATATTCTATACTTCATCGGTTCTGGACAAACAAGATATCATATCAAATCTGAGATTCCACAGATTCCAATGGTATAAGTATCATCACTCCACAACCAAAACTCAGGGCAGCGAAGGAGAAACCGGTAAATACGTCTTACCTTTGCTGTTTTCTGATCAGAAGTTGTGTTCAATGGTATTAAAACGATAAAAACGCTGCTGAAGGTTAATCCAATGTGTCTGTGTTACTTTGAAAATCATTTCAAAGTAACACAGACACATTGGATTAACCTTCAGCAGCGTTTTTATCGTTTTAATACCATTGAACACAACTTCTGATCAGAAAACAGCAAAGGTAAGNGAGCGGCTGCCCACCTTCGACGAGGAGTGCTGGCTGCTGATGGAGGCCTGCTGGAACGGGGACCCCCTGCAGAGGCCCCTGCTCGGTATTGTGGAGCCCAGCCTGCAAAGCATCATGGTCCGGCTCTGCAAAACAACTGAACAGAAACGCAGCAGCCTCGAGGACTCAAACTGAAAACACTCTGGACAAACTAACACGTGTGTGACAGGGACGCGGATCAGGAGTGTTTTCTTGTATTTATAAAGAAAGGAGATGAACAGGTGATCAATGAATAATGTTTGAGCTGTCCTCCTTTGTCAGATTTACACTATTTATGAGGGTTTGATACAGACAAGACGTTTGAAAATATGTGTGTTTTATTGTTTGTGCTTTGTGTATTTGTATACAAACTCTACTTCATGCTTTTGTCGTAGCCGCCATGCTAATTGCTACTTGGTTATATAATTGTTCCTAGATGCAAATTGTTTTTAAAGTAGTCCATTCCCAGTGTTATAACAAAATATAAATATATAAAAGATTAATTTTAGATTGTATTTAAACTGAACATTTCTGCATCTATACAAAAACAACTTTTTTAATAAAATGATCTGTTACAACATGATTGTGTCACTCCGCTGTCTTCAGTCAATATCATGATTTCTTCTGAGGAAAGAAAGTAACAGTATTCCTTTAAATCAATGGTTTCTCACCTTTTTGGCCCTGTGACTCCTTACTGTAGAGAAATGTGTCCTCCCTGAGTGTTAGCAACCAGTGCTATCAAACAGTGACTCATTTGTTTGGCCTGACACATTTTTAGATGCCCAAAGATATTGGATTCTCCAGTTGTTCACGAGGGAAAATAAGGGACAATAAAAATAGTTTTGTCAGAATTATTACTTACTGTCTTCAAACAATACGCCTGTACTGCGGGGTACTTCAGTGTGAGGGCAACATACAGAGTAAGTGCAACTTTTTGACTGTTTTACTGCTGAAGCTGGGAATTATTGGACATTTTACAATTTATTATAAATAATTCTTAATGGTTAATTACGTTAAATGTACCCTGTGTTAAGGACCAGCTGATGAATCAAACAGAAGTTTATAAATTAGTATTGCTTAATTCATTTAATTTAAGTAATCATCATACACACTCCGCTTAAGCTTTTTTATTAAATTGTTGAACTCTTGATTTAGGAGTAAGGAGGAATGAGTTGTAAGAAGGCTCCTCATCACACTTTATGATGAAATGTGAACAGCATGAGCAGCTCTAGCACCACCTGGTGAGTGTATGCCTCATCTCTCTTTGGTTATAAATGTTTCTAAATAGGGTAAGCAGAATGTTTTAGGGGACAAGTAACAAAACATATTTATATGGACCAATAATCAATACAAATGCTTGACTTTAAAATAATGACACTATAAACATTTAAGAATAGTTCACTCAGATATTCTGCTTAAATCAAAGATTCACATTGCTGGTATTTCTTCTTGTTCATTAGCTTTTGACTTTAAGAATTTCAGTGGTTAAAACCATATTTTAGAGTTATTCCAGCTGTGCTAAAGATGCCCGAGTCCAGTCTTCAGTCGTTGATTCAGGATTTGTAAAGATACGCTTGTTACCTTCACTTAGAGGCAGGCCAACTGTTTCCAGACGTTATGCTACACTGGGCTATGAGACAGCTGGCTTCATGTTTGACGCTACCAAGAAATGAGAGTGGTATTAACATTTAGCCAAGTTATAAGTATATTTCCTAAAATGTTACATGTTTGCCAAAACCATCCGCTGTGAAATACCACAAAGGCTGTGTTCACCATCCAGGTTTGTAAACTGGCCCCTTTTTATCTGATGATTCCATCTGCACGGTAGGATGTACCTTGCTTTCAACCGTTAAGCAAAAAACATCAGACAGGAAAACGTTATATATCAAAGTTAAAGTTATTTGACTTGTACAGATAAGAATTGGAGATAAGAAGGAAATGGTAAAAAACAGTTTAATCAGTAAAAACGGGAGGCGGCTGAGTAAAAGAGACACTTCTCTGTTGGGATACCAGAGTTGATATGATTGACCTGGTGGTGTTGTTTATGGCATGATATCTATACATTAAATTCATATGTTTGGAGAAATGGCATCCACATTTATCACATCAATTTGACTGAAAGTAGTAACTAAGATAAAAAGAGATTTCCTTCAGACTTTTAAGATACATTTCTAAAAACTGCTTTTGAGTTTATGAAGGAAGTTTTACATATTTACTTTACATTTAAACATATGTCCCCAATTCATTTACAGGCCACTCTGTACAGTAAAAATGGATTACAGCTCAAATAGTATTACAGCACAATTTTGCATTATTTTACAAATGAAAAAAGCTTTGTAGCTAATCTATAAAATACAGCTGTTTAGTCACTGAAGTCGAATGAATGCGGTCATCCTTCCAGAAAAAAGAATGAAAAAACAAGAGCGCTTTTATTGTCCATAGAAAATGTGCTCTTAGTGATTTACAAAAAAAAAGACGTATCAAAAGTCCTTTCCAGTTCTGCACATGCAGGTCTGTCCCCTCAGTCTGTGGGGACATCTGTCAGTGATGAGAAATAGCTTATACGGCATCCACTCGCAGGCAGCGAATCGTTCCTCCTTGTTTTCAAGTTCATAAATCCACAAAGAGCCTGCACCCTTCTGTGCCTCTTGGACACTTGAGGCGTGTAACTCAATAACCTGAGTCTGAACTCCCCCAACAAACTCAGACTGGCACAAACAACAACGGTAAACAACAGAAGGCAAACCAGGAAGACGTCACAACGTAATTCATGAATGAAAAAGGAATTTCCCTGAATGTTTGCATGTCTACCACAAAATTACCCCCCCCCCCAAAAAAACCTTGACCTCTTTAATGTTCCACAGTCTTCAAAACTAAATATATATCCTGGAACAAAAAAAATAAAAGAATCGCCGACAAATCTGGGCAGTAAATTAAAAAAAAAGTGCATTGCTTCAAGTATGTAAACAAAATGATTTCTTTAAAGGGAGAGTGAGACTCGTTCTGTCAGTGTGCGTGAGCCTGGGCCAGTGCAGTGACTCCTGAGGTTTGGCACACATGTATAAACACACACACATTCACACAGTACAACACACACAAACACACTCACACTCCTTCAGAGGATCGGGACGACGAGGGGGAATTCCTTCTTTTTCTACTTTTTCTTTTAAGGAGAAGTCCGGTGCTGCCCTGTTTGCAGTCAGTGTTCAGGAAGGAGGCTCTATGACCTGCAAAAAGACACCCCTCCGTCAGCGCAGTCACATGGGGGTGTTGCAGTGGCTGCTGGGAAAACATGGATGAGCATGGATGAGGAGGAGGTGGATGGATTCAGGATGGATGAAGAGGAACGTGTTGAAGACAAATGCAGCGTCACACGAGAAAGAAAAAAGAAAATAATAAACAGTGAGGCAATGACACACACGCACACGCACACGCACACACACACACACACACACACACACACACACACACACACACACACACACACACACACACACGGTGAAAGATGTTTAAATGATGCACCAATCTGAAGACAGTGATCCTGATTGTTTTAAATGAGGATCAGAGCTTCATGGGATAAAATTAAAGTATAAAAATCTATGATTTTTGAAAAAGAGAGAAGGGCAAAAAAGGTTGATTAGTAAACTACAATTACGATTTTTATCTTAGAAAGGACCTGCTTTGTTTAAGAATTTAGCACTTCGAAGATGAATGCCTTTCAGAGACACACGTGCATGTTCACATTCATGATTTAACTTAACCTTGTACAAACATCTGCATCTGCTTATTACTTCCTCTACATTTAGTAATGAAGGAAATACTCAGATCTTTTACTTAAACAAGTAGCAATACAGTTATATGGAAATACAAGGTAAATTATTATTGTTTTATATCTTCATTAGTAACAATGGATTGATTAATTATAATATAATATAATTTGTTGGATATATATTGTATCTGAATCTTCAAATCAACTAAACGTAGGGTCTCAGAATTGTACTTTAGTAAAGTATTGAGTAGGCTAAATATTATTAGATTTGCATCAATAATTCACCAGATGGATGTAGGAGTTAATCATACACGCTCTGTTCTTAAAGTCAGCGTTAATGAGGCCTTATCACCAAGAAGTACATTTACAGTAGGTTCACTGTTGAGTCACAGCGTCTCTAAAACTTTAGGATTCCTCCACACTGAAGTGCACACTGTGGGTAACAGCACGATGGATGCTGTCTTCATTTGGTTTAACACTTAAGATAATTAGGTGAATGAGACAGACTACAAGTAATGAAAACCACAATCACTGAGGAAGACGGCACTGGCAGTTTGACGCAGACACTTACAGGTATAAAACAACACTTTACTGCTTATATGTGATATTGCTTTTTGAGATATTACTCACTCTGATCCTGACGAGTCCCCGTCTACCGTCCCCGCCTTGATGCTCATGGCGACACCGTTCATCTGATCATGCCGGCCGGGGTTAGCCGGGCGGCGCCGCCCTTCACTGGAGGACGACCCCTGTGGGGACGCCGAGCCGGGGGGGGCGTCTTCACAGAGCTCGTTGTGGATGCGGTTTAGACCGTTCCTCTCAACTATAGGAGAGAGCTGCTTCTTCTTTAGGATCCCTGTGGAGGATAAAAACAATCAACAAGTTATTCATTATCATTCTTAGAATAATAATTTGCCTGTAATATAATATAGCAGGATAACATTTTTTCCTTGAGGTTTCCCTTGTGTCATCATCCCAACATAATACTTCATTACTTGAGACTTGATTTATTTCTCAAAATAGAAAATAGACCACGTATTAAAGGTATTTTCTCAACAAGAAAATTGTGTTGTTGAAACTCACAACAACATGCAAAGGTATTTGCATTGAGCTAAAACTCACCTCTGTGGGGGTGGGTGTAGATGTGTGGCAGGCTGGGCAGCAGCGTCGTCATGGCGTCCTGGCCGCGGTCGTCTGTTAACCCCCGGGTGTCACGGCCAAGACTCAGCTCCTGATTGGTCGGAGTGTCAGTCTTCAGTCTGTCCGTTCCTGTGAGCTCTCCCTCATCATCAGGCCAGTACATCTTACTCACACTGTTTTCTGCAGAGACAACATGACATGTGGGAAAAAACACATGTAACAGTAACTATGACAATTAAATCCTTATAGTTAAACAGGAAGAGATGGGTTGCCTCTCCACAAATACATATATGTAGCAATAAAATCTATCATTACTGCTGGTTATTGAACGTGCGGTCTTCAAAAGTTGAAGTTACATTAGTTTAAATTAGTCCGATTTAGTGCCTCTCATGCATTAGCAATTCATTCAAATCCCTGTTGTTCTGAAGGTATTTATATATTTAAATCCTGAAACGATCTTAAAAATAATACTCCATTGTTTCCTGATTTCATTTTACTTCCTGAATTTCTGATTTTAAAACAAAACATATTTCTACCGATAACAAGATGTGATGGTATTCCCTTATCTAGGCAGCCAGAAATTAAACATGCCCAACCAATTTTGAGAAACAAAAGCAACATTTTACAATATGTTTTGGTGGAAATACATATATATATATTTTTAATAATTCTAAATAACAAACAATAGCATGTGAAGGTTTAATAAACTGAGGAAGGCTCCCTGTCAGTCCTGCTATCATTTGTATTTCTTTGGAATATTAGTTGGATAGGAAAAGTGATCTAGATGATTTGAAGAGGCAAAGAGTGGGGATCAGTACCGTTTGGCTGTGGTCTCTTGGCCCCATTAGACGCCATGTTTTCCCAGCATTCATTTGGAGAGAGTGGTCCCTCGTCGTCCTCGCTGTCGGAGGAGTGTGTGGAGGCGTAGGAGCCGCTCTGGTCGTCCTCTAGAGACAAGTCACTGTCCGAGTCGCTGTCGTGATCTGAAACACACGAGAGGAGAGGGTGACATGGCCGTACCGATCACTGCAGTAAACTGAGCGCTGAGTGAGAGTAATGAGAGTGTTACCGTCCGGGTGCTCCTTATTTTCATGGAAGAGTGACGTGTGGTCGTTCAGAGCGATGTGCGCCTGGCTGGTACTCAACCCATCGTCCCTGAAAAGAGACAAGAAGTCAGTGTACAGCTGCTCCTGTCACTCTGTCATGCAGCATATTATTCTCATCTCACTATTTTTTTTTCTTTTTCCTACCTGAGGACAAAGGGCACGTAGCTCTGCTGGCTCTTTCCGCTCTGCATGGTTCCATTCAGAGACACGCTGGAGTCTCCAAAGGGAAGGTGGTACAACCGGCCGTCCATGTAGTTAGTGTTGCATTTGTAGCCCTGCACAGTATAGATGAGTGGTTTAGGAATTGAAAAACACCTATACAGAGTTAACATGGAGGGTTTATTATGTGATTTTGTGTGGTCCAGCTGTTAAAAAAAAACATAAACTTTAAGCTGGAAGAAATAATTTTATAGATATATTTTTCTTGTTGTCAACAAATCTAAGATTCCCTCTGTGGGTCCCAGTAAACAGAAACAAAGAAAGACAATTAGAATTAGAATGTACAAACAATCACCTAATAAAATAACAGCTTATTACTTTGAGAACCACATGTCTGAATTCATGTAGTTACATTTCCCCCTTTCTAGATTTTTCCAAAAAGTTCGTTTTAAATCCACAATGGAAAAACATTTTGGAAAATCAAGTGCTTTCAGTCTGAACCTTTCTCTCTTGGATCATATGAAGGACAAGATTTGCATTTTTTGCATTTTTTTTCTCCAACTATTATGGCCTTCTACTGCTTCCATATCAGTACAAAGCTAATTGGTTTCTATTGAAAATGTGAACGTATAGAAAAACATGTCAAAATCATGAACTTCCATATTAAAAAAACCATCAGAATAATGGACAACAACCGCACAGAGGAAAACAACCATAATATATCAGTACCTAATACTTAAAGGTGAAAGTTATATCTAGACAATTTCTATGCACTTGTTACTTGGTAGTTTATTGTTGTTTGGAACAGAATAATGATAATAACTGATGTTTTTAGAAAAGCTCCCTACATGAAACTCATGCTGAGCTCTACATCACAGAGAGTGTCTGTCTGACTGACTGGAGTATTTTCGGTGAGGGACTCACAGAATTCTTGGATTTGATCATATGATCGGGGCGTTTGCGGCTGCAGCAGTATTTCATGGCAGTCCTTGCTTCCTTGTTGAAGACTATGCGGAAAAAGAAAATAAACGGACCCTGTGGTTTGGGGACAGAAGAGGAAAGAGGCTCAGGAAAAACGACAGAAATAACAAATGTAAACAGTTTAGGCGGGAAATGGATGGCTCACCTGCACACAGTTGAAGCCAGCGAACAGGTAGTGGAAGATGATCATGTCGCTGTTGACGGAGAGGAGCGCCAGGAAACACGTGACGGAAACCAGGAGGAGCACGCCAGCTGCCGTCTTCAGGCCAGAGCTGCAGGATCACATGAGAAGTTAGTGAGGAGCTGTCAGGAATGTTTCTGCAAATTCATCGATCTGAAGATGAAGACTGATGAGAAGCGAACAGCAGCCAACATCAGAAGTGCAGTCAAATCAGAGGAACAGAGCACGTCTTGTCCTGTGAAGAGCTGTGATCACGAACACAAACAAAAGATAACTGTGGTGCAACAAAGTCCCAAATCTAATAAAACTTTTCATCAGGACCGTGTATTTGCTGTGAAATGTGGAAGATTAAAAAGCCTACGGTTTAAAAAAAGAATCATAGAATAGTAAGGGCGATCAGGCAGGTTGATGTATCCTTAGGCAAGATACTTAACCCCGAGTTACTCAAGGACAACGGTGTGGGAATGTCAGGGAATTTTGGTTTCCAAGAGCAATTGGCACTGCTCTGTATGAATGAGGTGTGAAAGAGCTATATAAGTACAGTCCATTTACCATTTAAGTCATGAAAGAAATAATAAAATGTATTTATAAAAAAAGGCAGAGTATAGTGAGCTATACAAATGTATAAGTATAGTATGTCCTGAAAAATAATTTTTGAAAAATCATAAAAACTCATAGTAAATGTTGCTGTGTAAAGATGACACCACCATCAACAACTGAAAATAATGTATTGTAAAATTAAATATTGGACTATTATGAGTTTTATAATCAAATGATAGTTTGGTCTATGAAATGTAAAAAAAAATTGAAAATAGCCAAACTGACGTCCTTTATCCAGGTATTGTATTACAGAGAAGCAGCACATCCTGCCCTTGTGAAGCTGGAAACCTGAATGTATATACATATACATTATTTTATACTATTTCATTGAAAAAATTACTGACATTTTAAAATTAATAATAGTTTGCTATGATTTCCATCTGGAGCTACAGGGACAGATAACTGAGCTGTTGATAGGGTGGATCAGAGGAAAAGGTCTGATGTCAGTGTGGATCTTGTTGGTCCAGTTTTACTAGAAAGTTTGATATTCCAGGTCCGGAATTTCAAAGACAAAGCCTAAATATAACTACATCAGCAAAATGTCTTATAACATGTTGGTGCACTCACACACGAGGCTCTTTCTTCTCCATGCTGAGGTGTTTCGTTGAGCAGGAGGCTCTGGACGACAGGATGTACAGGAAGACGTTCATCTGTAGACACAAAGCCAAACTGCATCACTGCTAACATCCTGGCACGAGTCCTCTTTCTGTCACAGTCATGTCTAATATTTTCTTTACACACCCAAATGAACAGAGACGGGTGTGTTCCCTGTCACAACAACACCTGAGTCAGCATCATGAGTCAGCATGTTTGGACTGTCAGGCATAGATGATACATATATAGATTGTGAAACATACTAACACAGCTAAACTTCCTGCATTTAAACGTCTATGACATTTTGTAGATTTTTTGTATTTTATTAGTTTATGTGAGCCTTTAAAAAGTGATGGAGGCTGCTGTTGTCATGTGTGTAAGAGATGAGACAACAGTCTGGATGTGCAGGACTCACCGATACCACCATGGCGATGGGTCCAGCAAAGCTCCAGATGAGAGTGTCGTACATGGAGAGCCAACAGAAGTCAGGGTTCCCGTAGCCTTCAGGGTCCAGTCCCACTGCCAGACCTGCAGTCCAACAGAGAAAGACCCATGGTTTGTATTGTGTTTTTAATGCCCGCCTGACCCCGGAACAACTATGTAAATAGGCTGTTTATCAAACTCAATAGTTGTGTCCAACAGTAATCTTCTTGATTTATAACAGATACAAAATCTCTGATACAGTTCCTTGGATTTGCTGAAGCCAATCTCCGAGTTTGGGGGTTTCTTTCCAAGGGGCTCTGATCACCACTGTTGCCTTCACTTTCAGAATCTTCTCTAGCTCCTCTCTGAGCCCCTGTTATTTCCAAATATTATTGTGTTAACTTTTCCTAATGTTGCGGTTGCTTGGGATTGTTATATCCATAACCATTGCCTTATTCTGCTGTTCGTCTGGTTGGTTAGCCATTACCATTTGATCAGAGTCTGTATCTGGAAGTCCCACAGGATCTTAGCTTTGTCTTCTCAGCCACCTTTGGAGGTGCTGCCAGGCATCCATGGAGTGAGGTCAGCTTCTTTAGCCAGTAGGTTTGAATTATATTTAATTATATAAGTGAAAATGTTTTCTCTATATTTCTATAAAGTGTTATGTCTCCAGATAGATTTCTATAACTGGTAGGGCTCAAAAGCACTTGTAATATGCTACTTTTAGAAATGTAATACAAGACACACATTGGATGAGGCTCTCCCTCGTACAGCAGGTGTCTCTTGGTGATTGTATTTGTGATTATACAAGGGTTCTGACCTGTGATGAAGGCGGGCACTCCCCAGCCAATCAGGTAGTAGAATCTCATTGGTCCGTAGTTGATGTCTCGCACCTCGCTGATCATGCGGTAGACGTGCAGCCCCTCCAGGAAGAGCCAGGAGAAGGTGCAGAGGTAGAAGAAGTGCAGCAGGATAGCCATGACTGTGCACACAAACTGCAAAGAAAAGGAGGGGAGAAACAGATACGGACGTTTGAAATATTTCAAGATTAAAAGAAACATCAAGTCACATAAATATAGAACAGAAATATTTACCGGGTTGTCTGCCTGGTTGATGCCCAGTATGAAGATGAGCTCAGAGAAGAAGAGAGCGACGCCTCCATTGCTGATGATGCTCGTCTTGTTGCACTGCATGGCTCTCAGGCAGAGGAGGAATATCGAGGTGAGGAAGAGGAACCCCATCGTCACTCCCACTGTACTCCACGTCAGTATTTTGACTGGCAGAATCTCTCCGTTCTGACGCAAACATCACGATTAAGAGAACAAATATACATTTGCTTAGTGTATTCTTTTATATGATAATTTAAACTTATGTAAAGTGTCTTTAGGTACTATTAACAAGTGATCTATTCATAAATTATCTTTATATAATTATCTCAGGTTTTAGTGAAGTGTCATTTTTTAAGTGTTGCTCACCTCTCTTCTGGAGATGTCCATGAGCACCGCGAAGCTGGTCATGTGATAACACTGACAGCTGATGTGGGTGTTGTTTCTGAAGATGACCTCGCACCCCTTCGCTGACCAGCCGCCGTTCCCGCCACTGAAAATAAACACAAAGCGCAGAGGGCGAAGTGAGAATAACACAATTTCATGTTTATTATTATTATCTCTGTGTGTCTTATTGTAATGTTTGATCCTTTACTTATGCAAGGGGACTGGATAATCTTCTTAATATTGTTTGTTTTCCCCTTAAAAATGACACTGTGATGCAATAAACTGAATTTGTTTCAAAACAAAATGTAAGAAAGTGATTTATGTAAGATTTTTAAACATAAATTATTTTGATGAGCATTGGATGACTTGCAGTTATATTGGACAGATAATCTTGACATGGTGTCTGCACTCACAGTATGGTGTGGTTCCAGAAGACGCAGATGGGTTTGGAGCGCTCCTCGGTGGTCACCAGGCGGAACTGCACAGTGATGGGTTTGTCCAGCGTGTGCTGCAGCAGCTCGTCGTTGTCGTGCACCGTGATGCTCACCACCGGCGTGTTGATGACCGGACGCTTGGGCACCCTGATGGAAATGACAACAAAAAAAAAAAGGGAACCGTTTCACTCTGAGGGGATTTATGGAATCATTGACATCATGTGTCCTCTTTAAATAAAAAGAATGGTATAAATCTTAAATATCAACATTTTCAGTTTGTCTATTTTGGAAAAAAAGATTAAAAGAAAGCTCTAACGGCCTAATAACAAGAAAATAATCTGAATTGAATATGAGCAAAGAGGAGATTCACTGATATTTGAACCATTCAATTAAAGTTCACTTTATGTTATCCTTGTGAGGATTAGCAGGGAAATCCAGTGCATCAAGTTCAAATGCTTGAGACTGTGCAATCACTTTGCTTCATGGCATCTTTTTATGTTCTAATCACCTTACACACAGGGCCGCCCCTGGCCAACTTGTGGCCCCGCGCAAAGTTATATGATGAGGCCCTCTGTGTCGCGATAACGACGACGGGGGGCACGCTACACTGTAGGTGCGCTGCCTTTGCACTTCAGATGAGGCTCCCTCTTCAAAATGAGGGCCCCTCTGCAAAATGAGGCCCCTCTGCAAAATGAGGCCCCCTCCGCGAGGTGAGGCCCCACGCAGTCTGCGTGATCTGCGTGTAGGGAGGGGCGGCCCTGACCTTACAGTTCATGATAATTATGACCTTGATTATTTGTCTGAGCTTCATATTGCTGTTGTGTTAACAGTGTGTTTGTTTATTTAACATTGTATTTCAGCCAACATGTGGCCATGACAAAGGTTAAAAGGTCTTACAATAACAATAATATTGTTTAACGCATAACTTCTGGGACTACAATTCGTCCAACAAAAGTATCTATAACGCAGTTCTAACACAGCTTTATTATATGAACCGTTCTTACCGCAGACTCCTCTTGTCAGGATCGTAGCTCTCTGGTAGCAGCGAGGCCAGGCTGTGGAAGATGATCACACTGGCGATGGCGTCCTGCTGGTTGTCCTCAGGGTGGCGTCTCTTCCTGTTGGACGAGCGGTTCCTCAGCGAGGACTCCGGGAAGACGTCAAGGTGTCTGTGTCCCTTGGTGTCCACAGGCAGCTGGAAGACTGAATCGGGCAGCGTGACGGCCGTCTCCAGGTCCGCAGGACGAGGGCCCCTCAGGGACTGGTACCGCGGGAGTTTGGCTCCGGCGAAATTCATCTTTTTCAGTCGGTCCACAGAGATGACTGCGAGAAACACACAGACAGGCAGAGAGCTGAGCTGATGAAACTGGACTCCTTCTTTAACCAGAGAATTTAAGCCTTCAAATCATATCTTGAGTCCAGAAAATATCAGATCTAGCCCAAAAGTAATTACAGGGCTTATTGGAGGGACACTATTCTTTCTTTATTAATGTTTTATAAGACTTAAATTAATGCTGAAATTATTAGTCAATTGATCAATTAGTTAACGCTTTGAGAGTTGGGACCGTGTGGAGAAGCTAGTAGATAAATGTGTCAGTAAACTGGATCTCTCCTGCAGTAAAATACCCAGAGGCTTTGGCAATAACACGTTGTGCTTCCTGGTGAAGCTCACCTATGTGTGGTGTGACGATGGTGAAGGGGCTGAGGTAGGTTTTCCTCATGTTCTGTGCCAGTGTGTTGGCGTAGTCCTCGTAGTGGCGCAGCAACGCTGCTGTGCCGCCCTCCGAGTGCTGGATCAGCTCCCAGTGCGTCCGCGTGTCTGGACCCAGGATGGCACTGCCCACACGGACCAGATTCTGCAAGAAAAACAGCGAGCGGTCAGTGTGACAGGAGGCCACAGCGGAGAGCGAAAATGAGTGTGAAGTCTTCCCTGTGGATACAGCATGAAAGGCTGGAAAACTGGCTTTTTTTTGTTCAGTGCTAAAACTGCAGAAATGCTTTGTTTTAATTTAGTTTCATGTGTTGTGAAGTTTCCATAGAGCTGTGTTTGTTCACCTCAGTGAAGTGGACGTCCTGCGTAGCGGTGAGGTTGAAGCCCTGCTGGGTGCTCTCGTGCTGCAGCAGACTCTGTGTGAGCCGGTACGCCACTTTCACATCGCTGCCGTAGTACTTCTCCGTGTGCGAGGTGGCGTTGGCCAGCATGGCTGCCGTCTGCTGGACGTGTCCAGAGTCCAGGAGCGAGGCGTTGCGGGAAATCTTTTCAGACTGGGGGACGAAACAGAAAAGATTATATTAGTTGGGGCTTCATTACTAAAACATACATAGGAAAATGTCTCAATAACAATATTAAAAACATGATTGCTAGATTTCTAAATGTAAAAGCCCTCAGGCCTGTTTAAATCACAAGGACCATATCCACAACTTTGCAGACAAGGATGTTATTTTTGGAATTGGTACATTTAAAAACTGACAGGGAGAGAATACACACCAGGACTTTGAGCTTGCTGAAGGTGACGGAGGTACAGTTGAAGAGATTGGGAGGCAGCCAGCCCTTGTGCTCATCACAGTGACGGATTGCAGTGCCTGAGAGGAAGGAGAAACAGAGAGAGAGAGAGGGGGGGTTGTCAAATGAGAGGGTAGGACTGCAGCTTGAGGCAAGTATATATTGCCATTATTATATGGTAATTAGAGGAGCTGCCATCATACCGAGCGTTCCCCTGGGACAGTGAACGGCAGCAGGGAGACCGAACTTGGTCCTGGGCCACCAGATCCCGGCCTCGATGGCCTGAGGGCAGCTGTCATAGATCACTGAGAGAGATGGAGCAGGAAGGAGAGCAGAGATGATGGTGATGAGGATACAAATGGAAAAGGGTTTAATATACTTGTAGCTATTAACACAGGGCTTATGAATGAATAATGACTCTACAATAATCTGAAGCATTCTGACCTTCACAGCCGTTTGGAGAAACCTCGGCGAAGGGGTTGTCGCAGCGGTCACACTGGCGCCCGATGACTCCGGGTTTACACTGACACTGGCCGCTCTCTCGGTCACACACTCTGGAGAACGAGCCCACCGGGTAGCAGTCGCACAGCAGGCAGGTGTCGCTGCTCTCAGGGCGGTAGTGGTTGTCCTGGAAACGGGAGAAAGTTGCTGATTTAGAAGGCGAAACCCACAAATATCATTGTTGAATTATCTGTCAATTGTTTTCTTGATTGATATAAGTTGTTTGGTTGGTAAAATGTCCGAAAAGTATTTGGATCATTGTTTCTTTAGCCCAATATGACGTCTTCAAATGTGTAGTTTTGACCACATCTTAAATATAATCAGTTAAAAGAGGCGTAAAGAAACCAAATGCATTAATCAGATAATTGAACATATCTTTTCTTTAAATCTCCAATAAATGAATTGATAATTAAAACATTTAGGAATTAATTAATAACATTTATATTCAAATTTAAATGTATTAAAGGTTGACCTATTTATCTTTGCAGATTACCTCTTTATTATTTGTATTCATAATAATAAGAATAAGAATAAAGAAAATATATCTAATTAAACTCAATAAAGTTTGAATAAAAAAACAAATGATCTATCTCTAAACCCCCACACCTTTTTTCATGTTTATTTGTTGCAGCTCTCTTTCAAATAGACAGAAAACTTAATTTTCTTAAACACACTGCTGTTTATTGATTTCCTGTATACTTGCTTCACACACAGAGTACTGTAATTAATGTGTGGTATCTATGTCATTGAGAAACAGTTGAATACGTTTATTAGTCTGTCTGTTACAGAGCGATGACGCAGAGCTGCAGGTCGGCACACGCTCACCTTGCAGCGGCACTCTCCGCTCGTCTTGTTGCAGTCAGAGTCGAAGCCTTTGTCTGTCGGACAGTTACAGGGGCCGCACGTCTTGTGACCCCACCAGCCTCGGGGACACGGCAAGTCGGTCCTGGAGGCATAACGTTGATTCATTTAGAGTAATAAAAGACACAAAACAAGAAGAACCACAACTGACACAACATGACAAGCACAGACTTAGATTGTGGTTTTGTATCACACTTTTCCTAACTACTCAGTTCACTGCAATTAACAAACAGGCATCTGGGTAAATCCAACTATTGTCCTTATTTGAAAACTCTATTTGTGTGCACACATGTTAACACAGTCTGCGTACAGCTGGAATATCATTTTTCAGTTTTTTCACAATTATGAATTAAATGATAAAATATCTAGTATTTCTCTGTCAGTTATTAAACTCACACAGATGGTTAACATGGGATTTGTTTTTTTCATATTGACTATTCTTTTTTTCAATTAGTTACCAAGACATGAAATGACCTTTATAAAGACTGTGGCCGTTTCTCAATCGCAAGTAAAACTGCTGCAGAGCAACTATTTCAAGTATACTACGGGTGGTGCCGAAGGACTGTTTAAATGCATTCTGCGCCACTCTATGATGTAGTATACTTGAAATAGTTGCTCTGCAGCATGTGTAGTAGCGATTCAGAAACGGCCAGCTCAGCCCTAAAAGGCGCACATTTGAAAGTAAATCGGGAAAACTGTACTTTTTCTCGCAGTAATGGCCGAAGTAGTGGCTGGGACAGTCACACGTGTAACCACGAGGGGAGCTGGGCTTCCTGCTGCAGGTTGACTCGTGCTCACACGGGTTTAACGAGCACACATCAGTGCAGTTGCTGCCATGGTAGCCTGTAAACAAAGGAGAATGAGCTGTTGTGATGGAACAAAAAAGGTATGGCCAATAAACTGTGGTAAGCAGAGAGAAAGAGAAAGATTTATGTCTGAATTCTGTTACTTTTCTGTGTTGCCATTGAGCTTTTACAGACATCATCGTATATGGGCTGAAATAACATTTACAGCAGTATGAACCCCTGCAAACGTTAGGATCATGGTTTTGTGTTTCTGAGCAGTGCGTGGACTGACCGGCGAGGCAGGTGCAGGAGAAGGAGTCCCAGTCGTCGCTGCAGTAGCTGCTGAAGGGGCAGGGGTTGGAGCTGCAGGGGTCGGGCACGCTGCAGCCCGGCTCCACGTTCACCTTCCTTGCCTGAGACAGACTCAGAGCCCCGCCCACACGCAGACCCTGGAGGCAAACAAACAATTAATCACACAAAGGTATCCTTGGAAACACAACACAGTAATGTGTTTGCGAGCAAAAGAGTAAATTATCCTGTGCTGCAAATTGCAATTTGGTGAAACAGACAGCGCGATTTGCGGGAAATTAAAGGAGTGTTATAAAAACACTTTAAGTCTGTGTGCATTTTGTGTGCTCTGATATTAATATATGTTTAGCTGCACTCCATCATTAAGTCAAGAAGTTAAAACTTCAAACAATCCTGAGTTAGAATGATTCTATATCAAAGGGCAAGTAGAAAAGGGTTAAAAACAGAAGGAAAAGTTATTTAAAACAGTGGATTTAAATATACAGGTTTCAACAGATTATTAATGACTGTTTTTTTACACCTAGTCTTTGAATACTAGGCATCTGAATATGTTTTTCTTCAATCAAATTTGACCAAATCGAGATTCCTTTTGATCTGTAAAACACTACAGCAATACCTTCTAGTTGAGATCCTTAGTGTAATACCTTCAGATATCTGCTAGACATGATCACAAATGCTCATATGAGTAAGGGACTACAGAAGGGACGGACCTGTATACAACCACGGAAACCATGCTGAATTTTCCCATCAGGCCTTGCCACACCACCAACGCTCACAGTCTTCAGCTTGGAGTCTCGCAGCTTCCCGTCCACCTCCATACTGGCCTGAGGAGGAGCATGATAAAGATTTAATGTCTGCAAAACTACAAGATGTGATTCATGGTGATTGACAGCAACAAGGACACATCCACTCACCAGGTAGAGCCCCTGATCTACAGACAGCACAGCCTTATGGTGGCTGGACGCCCCCCCCACACTGCTGATATCCAGCTGCAGATGATGCCAGTCTCCATCGTTTACCAGCACCTCCTCCACCCGGGACAGAGTGGAGTCTTCCCCTCTGTGCAGACCCATCAACACGCTCCCCCCGCGCAGCTACAAAGGCAGGGAGAGAGCCGGGGGAAAAGGAAGGAAACAGCAGGAGGGAGATTGAATCGATGTTCAATAACAGAGGAGAAAAAAGACTGGCAAGATCAGCACTGCATCACATGATGAAGAGAACCAGAGAATTCTGACTGTCTTTTTATTCACGCAGTCAAGTTCAAACCTCAAAACTCTAAACATCACAGGTGTGCAGAGCTGGAAATAGATTATCGGAGAGTTATGCAAAATCAGAGAGTCTAGACGAGCTGAAACTGTAACTAGACAGAGATGCTACAATGAGCATGTGATCATTCGGGTTTCTGTCTCAACATCGTCTGATTCAGTCAGTGACTCAACCGGCCAACAGGTGGAGCCTCAACCCTAAAATGTTTCATCTTTTTGAAACTACAGGTGTTGTCTGATTTCATGCCAGACCTCACAACCACCAAGAACATTCATATTTTTCACTATTTCAATGTAATTCAGGTGATTTATCTCTTGTGATCAGATTAAGAGACATTAAAAAATAAATAACCTAGAAATCTTTCAACATTTTGCTTTTTTTGTCTAATTAACATTTTGACCAAAGCTAAAAATGAATGCGTTGTGTCAGTAGAACTGTCATTAGCAGATGGATGATGGATGAAGGAAAGGAGTATAAGTGTGTCACTGCTGCTACATGTTGCTCTCACCTGCAGAGTGAGGTTGTGCTGCTGGCCGGCGGAGATGTGCAGCAGTGTGGCGCTGGCCTGACGCGTTCGAAACATCAGCTCCACGTGCCAGGGGACCGAGGCGGCCGCCATGTTGTTCCACTGCAACAGACTGTTACCCAGGAAACGCTGCGGGCTGGCCATCACTGGAGTAAAAAGGTGTTGAAAAACCGGATAAATTGTTAGGAGAGAGTTAGAAGTAGGAAAAAGTGATGAGGATAAATAGAGAGTTTCACAGTGAGGCAATGCGGTCAATCAGCAAGTCCAGTCTGTTCTCTGATCACGTCCAAGTAATCACATCAAAAAAATGTATCAGACATAGTCTGCCAGCTTTTTTATGCCGTCTGCAATCAAATCAAGCGTTCCAAAAACCCAGTGAGCATTTGCCTCGACATGGCTTTGTTCACTGTCTTTTCAAAGCAGGATTGGCAGTAGTGACTTTTTTTTTTCCTATACTTTGTTTTAAATATATCATTTTGGATTAATTTGGAAGCCTAACTAAGAATCCACATCCAACACCACACCACAGCCACTATTGAAAATCCCAGTGAATTATGGTCTAAATGTGAACTTTTATTTAAGGTCTTCAAATAGTCAGTAAGAAAATATCAATTTGTCTTGAAAAATAATGTATTAAAATATGATTAAAATCGCCTTTCGTTCAATTTCTTTCCTTCATGTTGTTAAATGTGATCTTTGAAGAGGATTTATGATCTCATAACTTTGAAGTCTATTCAGGGTCCAGACCTGCAAACCTCCAGTGCAAATACAGAGAACGTACTTTCAAGTCGTTAACCGTTGAATCAGAAAGTATTTGTGCACTGATAGATTTAGGATATTTCAATGAGGCCAAGAGAGTAGATGTTATCTTAAGTCTTTTTAACAAGGGAATTGAATTTATTTTGGCAAAAACATATTGGACATCAATTATCCCTCAAAGCTGTATATTTGTATCTTACACGAGTATGAAGGGGAATCTTTAATAACTCAAACGAGCACTATAAATGCTTGAGTGTAGCAGTAAAACATGAATTAAACATCATTTTGAATGCAGTTGTATCTGTGTTGTTCATGCATCAGCAGGAAGTCTTGGTGTGTGAGCACAGCTTTTTCAAACGGGAACACAGCATGACAGGAAAGGACGCTCTGCCCCTGTCATTAGGCTGTCACTGTAGGAAGCGCAGCAAAGCACCTGATCGAAATGATCGATTAGGGACGGCAAATAAACCGGAGGCTGGAGAGAGAGAAAGAAGAAGAAAGAAACTGCAGTGCAATTTCAGTCAAAATGTTTCACGTTTATGCAAAAGCTTTGAAATGAATCCACTTCCACTGCCTGATTAATCGTACTGTGAAGGTTATGCTGATTTTAACCACACCTGTAACCGTAGCTACATGTGGCTAGCAGAAGCCAGCAGATCAATATTTATAGTACATTTTACGCACACACACACTATCTAAGAGCTGCAACCAACTTCTAATTTTTCAAGTCAGTGAATAATGACAATTTCGCCAAACTGAGTAAAATACCACTTGCTGGTTACCAACGGTCCAGAAAACCAAAAATATATAGTTTACTATCAAGAAAGACAAAAGAAAAGCAGTAAATCTTCAAGCTGGATCTATGATTTTTTTCCTACCCCTCACCCACATAAACTTCATTTAAAAACACTCCAATGATGGTGTTGATCAGGAGTGTTTATGAAAATAATATATTCAAGGTATCAAAGCTCATTAAACATAAACAACTGCATTATGTTCCACTTCTACAATCCCATGCCCCATTTTCCTCAGATGTATGCACTCTATGCATCAACTCAGATGTATGCACTCTATGCATCAAACCTGACCGTATTTGAATATAAACCCCTACTTCCTGTTATAATGTAATATACACATGAACATGCGTCACCGAAACAAATCTTTTTTCACCCATTCTACTTCAACCTTCAAGCAAGAGGTGTGTTGTTTTGTCGTTTACTTGACTTATTCCTCTTCCTCTGTCTCGGCTCAAATTGCTGTAAACCATAAATCAGCACAGATAACAGCTGCAGAGGATCAGGTGGAACAAAAACAGACACTGGAGAACACCGGGTCGGAAACATAAACGACTGGACTGTAGGTCACTAAAGTCTAAAAACATGTTTTAGTCTTTCACAGTCTTAAAGAGCTCAACATTCTGTAAACCAGGGAAAATTCACACTCAAGCATTTGTGATAATCAATCACAATTTATACAGATCCTTCAGAAATCAGATATTCAAACTGCTGTCCTGTCACCAAGAGGAATGTTATCTCTGAAATCAAGTCATGTGTTTGCTAAAAGCTGAGATTTCTCATTTGACACCAATAACTGCAGTTGCGCTTTCATTTTGAAATGCAAATGTAGCCTTTTGAGCATGAGTAACTGTTTCCACCCTGCTTATTTTTGACCTGATGGATGACAGCTTCCTACTCGATGACAGGTTGAGTCTCGGGTCAGCGGCACTTTTCATCTCCACTCACCTCTTTCGCAGTTTTGACCTCCAAACCCAAGCGGGCAGTCACAACTGAAGGAGCCCCACAGGTTCACGCAGGTTCCTCCGTTCTGACACGGGTTGTTGTTGCAGAAGTGTCTTTTGGCCGAGCACCCTAGGAAGGCAGGAAAATACGTTAATTATTTCATCATTTTCAACCAAGTAACAAAAAGTCAGAAGGTGATAAACTATTCATAGCCGACACAATGATCACTTCCCACTGACTCCGTTCCCTGCTGAGCTAATTGTTTTCTTCTTTCTCCTCTCTCTCTTCAACAGCAAAACATTGTTTGACTGCAAAACAGGCGCAGGTTTAAGAGATAAAGTAGAGTATTATGTGTGGTGGCAAGCAGAGGGTCAAAACTAACCTGGCAGAGTGCCATTGTTGGCGATGAAGCTGGCCATGTCTATGTGCTGGTTGTCGATACGCAGGTTCTTCATGCAGCCCACAAACTGACGGTTGCGAACAGGAAAATCCTCCGGGAGTTTAGGGATCCCTCCGAGGAGCAGGGGGCCGGTCAGGTCCAAGGATCTGAGAAGATGAAACAGGTTTACACACCCAGAGTTTGTTACCCTGCCTTTACAACATCAACACTAATAGGGGGAACACAAAGTTCAGTTTTGCAGTGTTATTTTTCCCCCTGGAGATAAAAACATGAAGAAGGATAAACATTCAAATAAAGGAGAAAGCAAAGCAGGGAGAGGTGGCACTTCATTTCAAAACAAGTTCACTATCTTTATTAATGAGCCACTTGCAAAGAAAGTAATAAATTTAATTACTGAAGAAAATACAGTAGAAATAAAGTAAGATCTGAGGGAAAGAGCAAAAGATTGTTTTTGAATGTTTGTTGCGAACATTTTAATTATTTTAACGTTGTAATGAAAGAACTTATAATCCTTTTGAATTCCTGTGGACTCACTTCTTGGATCCTGATTGGCTGCCCTGAGCGGAGCAGGTGTAGTTTCCGATCATGTGACCGAACCGGAGAGCCACGGAGGCGTCACAGTTGTCCACCGTCACCACGACGACCTTTTGGTCCGAGGGGCCCTGTGGAAGGCCCGCCTGGTTCATGATCGGCTGTGGAGCAAGAGAAACACTCATGAATATCAAGATTCATTACGAAGCGCCTTCCTTATGTTTGGGCAGGCTTTGATCAAAACAAAGGAAACTCTTTTTTATTTTTTTCTGAGAGGAATTCATCGCAGAATTATGTCACAGGTTTATTTGAAGAAGTTTCCATCAGTATGCAATGTAACTATAAACATAGCTTGATTTATATGGACAGAAGAGAAGAGTTATTATCGTCCTATAGTTTCATACTCATTTGAGAATTAGCTGGTTTGTCGTATAAAGATCATAAAACACTGAAGAAAATGCTTTGCTGCTATTTTTAAGATGCTGAAGTATTTTGGTCACCTAGCATTTATAAATAGGAATCAAATTGTTAAGAAAATATCTCATTGATCTGCTCCATTGGATACAGGGTTAATCCATAAAGCAGTGCAAAAACTTCTGGGGAATATCAACCAGTGCTAGGCTGCTCAAAGCTTTATGAGCCAGATTAAAAACTGGAGCTTTGAAACTAAGAAACGAAAAACAAATAAAGGCCATTTTTGCATCAAACTGAGTTCAATCCCTGTTCAGCATTAGCTAGCTGGTGTTCAGTTTTTCAATAATTCATATCATAGCAGCTAGAGCCAAAAGGCAAATAGGCACACACACACACACACACACACACACACACACACACACACACACACACACACACACACACACACACACACACACACACACACACACACACACACACACACACACACACACACACGGAGAGAGAGGGGAGATGCCTACTCTCTGCAGGACATCATCCCTGTCGACAAAGGATCTTCTTCATTGTCTAAGAAATCAATGCGGCGAGCAACAAAAGGGGGAGGGGTCTGCGGGGGAAAGAATGATGATCCCGTCAATAAAAGGTTGCGACCTCTTTTCAAAACGGCCGGTTTCTCTGAGGTCACGTAGAGCTCATGTTATCCCTAAGTGTAGGTTCAGGCTGGTGTCGCTGAGAGCGGCCTGCAGGCGGACGCTGGGCCGTCAGCTGGTCAGACAGGATTTGGGAGGAATTAGCCCGTCTCATGTGCAGAGATGATAGGAAGAGTTGGCTCAGTGCTGATGCAACAAAAACACACACATGAAGCGTCTGTTTTTCCTGTCTGGCCTTCTACATGAAGTTAAACTAGAATAGTCCTCGCCTCGGTTTGCATGAGCCTCTGGGAATGTAATCTCTTGACATTTGCTGTCTGGTCTTTTAATTTAAAAGCTAATTAAAACAACACCTAAATCCAGATATACAGTAGATTTAATTGGCTGGAGAAACATCTATAGCAGCTCTATCAGAGGACCTTTATTACACACGTCCAGCTGTTCCTCAGTTCAGCCTGCAATTACATTTCTCTCACGTGAATTTATCTTTAGTTTTGATTAAATCTCCATGAGTCTCTCATAATGTGACTCTAACTGAGAGGCTGCAGTCTCCTCCATCCTGCACTCACTTAGTGTCTTGTGATCGCAGTGTGAAGAGTGTTATTGATGAGAGAGCAATAATAGCGCTACACCATCTGTTATAATAACATTCTACCTCACTCACTGTATGTATTTATTCTAAAATATGTGTGATGTGGAATAGATGGAAGAATACAACTTTATCGCCCACCAGGGACAAAAAACATGAAATGTATTTAACGAATACTGTAATCAAAAAGTAAAACAAGCAAACTAATGAAAAAGACAGAGAGCCTGCAGCCATGCTAAATGCGCTGTATGAGGACCGTTCATCATCTTAGCTTATTAACATTTGGCAATAGGCACTAAATACAAAGTACATCTGAGGCCAATGGGCTTTAGTTTTGCAACTAAACTTAAAGGATTAACACATTTCTTCTGAGGGCAACATGAATGCATGTTCAAAAAGTCATGGTAATCCATCCAAAAGTTGTGTAGACATTTCACACAAAAACTAAATGTCAATTTTGTGTGGTGGTGTTAGTATAAAACTCAGAGATCACAAAAGTTGAATCCACATTTGAGATTCATGACTGTCAATTTGTGCCATTATATCAAATAACCTTGAGACATTTAACTGGATAAGTGAGAACTGGTCAAAAGGTCACGAGTCAGTAGGATCCATTCTTCGGAGATCATAAATGCCGGGACAAAATTATATATATTTTGAGATGTATAAATAAAAGGTCTAAATGTTTATGCAAAACCGAAAAATATGGGTTGTGGCTGAATATAAGTTACTTAAACACCTCCCAGAGTTCAGACTAAGGCTAATACCTACGGAAATGTTTATAGTTTTATCAATATCTTTATTTTGTGGCCATGAAAAGGCTAGCAATCCTCTGAACCCTGGAGCCAAGTAGATTAATAAAACTCCAGACTTTTGTAAATCATTTCAAAGACTGACTTGAAAGCTGTTGCGTCACCTAAGAAGATTAACATTTTCAGAGACGCTTAATTGGCGGCCCAGTCTGTACAGAGATATATTAGAAACATTTATCAAGTTTTCTTTCACGCACAACAGGCCCTGTTGTGAAGCGAGGTTCCCACAGGAAGTCCCGGCGCTTATTTTCTTGACTGTGAGACTTGTTGTTCAACACTGAAATGTTAAGTAGACGGAGACAGAAGCTGAAGGTGGCTTTGACTTTTCAGTTGATGCTCCTTGACGCCAATTTGTTACAAATTTGTTGATGATGAAACAAGCAAACATGCGGTGTGAATTGCCAAAGGTGAAATCATCCGACATGCTCTTTTCCACGGTTTTCCCTTTGCTGTGAAAGCTGTGAGGCAGGCAGCGCTCCAGAGTGGGCGCTCCTTTCTCTGACCTCTGCTGTCATCAGTCACGGCTGTTGACTCTCCAATAATGACCGTCTGTCAGGACGTCTCTCCGCCGCACAAAACCCCGGCCTGACAGCACTGATTGGAGCGCACATATTTGCTCAACACCACATTAAACACTGCTCTCGCTCGCCGCTACAGGGGCTTATGGGAATATGAGTTCCCTGTCACAGAGGATTGCAGGGGTTATGCTGGAAGATCATGGCAGCAAGCAACACAAATATGGGATCTAAGATTGACCAGAAAAACCATAGCAACAAGAGGGGTCGGCCCTGAAGCGCAGCGTCTCCGCTCAAAGCCCGAGTCAATACTTCTCTGGGCTTTTCTTTACCCTCCTTTCGCTCCTCTGCTGCTCCTCGCTGGAGAACAGAGCGAGAGGGGCACCTTCCCCGGGGCCGCATCATTCACTGCCCAACACAAAGGCAGCGGTCATTGCCATTCTCCACAGCCCCCCACCATCCTGAAAGCCACATTTCAATCTAAAATGCCCCCTCCCCGCCTCACCCTGCCCCACCACCTGCGGACAGGGACGGGTCAGAGTGGGCCGCTGTGGGAGGAGCCATGTTTCTACCTCAGCGGCCCACAGGATGTGCAGCGAGGGGGATTAGTTCAGACCGCAGACTCTTCTGGAATATTAAGTGATAAAATATGCTATGTATTCAATAATGAATGGGGAAATGTTCCATTGGTTACACTTTACTATACAGGTAAACGTATATGATATGATATAATATATAACATATTGTAGAATGTAATGCATCATTCTTGATCTATTGAAAGTTATATCATGAATTCTTGTGGAAATGTTTCTGTGAGTTTGTAAGATAAGTTATGCTTTTAATAAATCATAAATAATAAAAGTGAACTTCATGCATTCATTTATATGCCACCAAAGCCCTTATCCAGTAAGATAGAAATATATAATGCTGACCTCAACAAATGTGCTTATGAAATAACAACTTCACTTAATAGATTTAACTTGAGTAAGACCGCTAACAAACAAATAGTTAACTTATCGACTAGAAAGGGTAAGCTGATTTTTTTATCAAACAAGTAGTCTGATGAAAACATGTTGCTCTTGTCCTGTACATGCAAACTTGACATGACCAGAATCGAGTCCTCTTCAAACATTCAGCACACTTACAGATGTAAAACTAACAGGTCAGTGAGACAACAAAAGAGCCAGAGACTCATTTAATGTGATGGTTTTGTACAAAGTGATTAATGGGACTATAATGTCTCCTTGGCACAGAAGCAGCTAGTTTTCATCCAAAAGTCGACAAGATTTTCCCCTTCATCACTTCTTCTGGCTCAAATTGACACGGCCGTGTTATCATAGACATTGAATAGAAAATGTGAGCAGCGGGGGTGTTGCCTGGCAACATCTTTATGATGCAAAGTGACTTCCTCAATAGACTAAAATGTGACATCCTGTGTGTCGGTCCTGGCTGGGAAAGTATTGAGAGAGCAGAGACAACAGCTCCATACATTCCTCCACAGATTGAGTTGTTGTGGTGTTCTTATGGAGAATGTGTATTAGTCAAAACATATTTGAGCATGTCTGGAGAAACGCTGCCTTCCCACTCTCTTGTTTTCATGTATTCACCCCCCCCCCTCACATCTTTCGTCTCACCCTCCATCAGTGTCTCACGTTGGCTCTCTTCCAGATCATCAGCAGCGAGTCCTTAGTCTGAGCAGCGCTAAAGAGGTGAATGTACACAACTAACTTCACCCACTAAAGACTGTCCTCTATGGATGTCCTGAAGATAAAGCTTTTTATTGAGACAGCACGTCAGTCTTCAGTGCAATAAATTGGCATGTGTGTGTCTACAGATCAGACCTGTGATTCCCCCTATTTACAGGAACTATGTCTGGTATTTTACTGCCTCACCTGATGAGGGGCGTAGCAATAGACAGACTTAACCAAAGGTATGTCAGCAACTGTGTATTATTTATAATAACGAAATGAGAAAAACACCTCCTAAGAATACAGTGAGGATTCACCACAGTCACCATGTATAGTACGACATATTGCTAAATATACTTTATGGCTTTCTTTTAGAGAGTGAGAAGATTTATAACAGACTCGTGTCTAAACGGCAAAGTTCCTTCAGCTTCAGGCCACAGATTCTTGCTTGAACTATTTTTCTTTAAATTATATTTCCGCATGTCATAGCTAACTATGAGACAGTAAATCTGCTCTGAGCATCTCACCATACAATACCCAAAGGGCTAAAAACGACCTGCCCTCATGTCTTAACATTTTTAAGATTTTTAAAACATTGATTTAAGAAGTTTTAATACCAATAAAACTTCTTTTTAGGAATAATGAATACAATGCCTTTTAAAACTTTTAAGGATCCGTGGGAACCCTGGTTCAGTAAAATAATCAATGGGTCTTTCTCAACATTTCAAACACAAGTGTTTGAATAATTCATCGCCAGTTTACAACCTTCACACTAGTTGTTATTCGTCTACATTGAGAAGAAGAGTACGACAGATGAATACTCAATAATAAATGAAAACGTATCATAAATCACTTTCTGTTCATTATTCATAGATCATACCTTGTTGTAGTAGTGGACCTCCACCACGTGCCACTGGCCGTCGCTGACTCCTCCAAGGATGAACGGGGAAACTGTCGTTTTGGTCTCACCTGTGAAACAATGAAAGATGTGAATGACTCGGGACAAGGATATTTTGAAACTGACTAAATCATTTGCAGTCAATCCTGAAGATAACTATAACTGTTCTACCTGCGGAGAAGGTGAGCTGTATCTGCTCATTGATGATTTCCATGGCCAGGAAGTCGTGTTTCTCATTGAAGCGTCCGTTGTACAGTAACAAACCGTTTGGCTCTTTAGTAGCAAACCTGAAAAAAACAAAACAGACAACAATTACATTTTATTAAATGTTTTACTACCAAATCTCATAACTTTTAATTTATTTAAACCAAGGAATTAAAGCTTAAGGCTGGTGTTGCATTTTTTATTTGTCTAATTGAAAGACGAAAACTAAACTAAATGTATTCATCTTAGTAACAATTGTCTGTTTATGAAAAGTATGTCTTCAATTGGAACATATTGGATTGAGTGACACAGACCGGTAGAAGTCACATTGTTAATTTTGGTCTTTTAATTATATATGTGTTGAAATTAAGAAAAATGTCGTGTAACAAAAGCCTTTAAAAATATGTACAAATGACAAACACACACATGTTCTGTAAGACAGCGTTTGTGTCAGCCATGCTCTACGTAACAGAGAAAAGAAAGAGGGCAATTGTTTCCTTTGACCCATTTAAAAACCATCCATACTATCCCCTCTCTTTCACCTTGCTCAGCCTTCACACCGGAGTGCTACAGTAATGCAGTGTGACGTGTAGCTGACTATCCTGAAGATGAGATCAAGATTTAACAATGCAGCGGCCTGACGAAGATCACTGAACAGATAATGAGGTTAATCATAAACACAAGGCCGAGTCAGAGGAAAACGCAGACACAGTGAAGGAATGTCGAATCTGCGTGCCATGAATAGATACCACATTAACTGACACACTGCCACACAGAGACAGAAAACTAGGGCAATGTCAAAGAAGCAGAATGGGGGAAGTAAAGAAGAAGCGCTTGAGAAGGCAGTTCGGAGTGACGACATCGACAGTTTCAAAATATATTTTCTCGAGGAGGAGAACACAGACAGCTGCTGTAACTATAACCTTAGTTTCAGATTTCTGTTTGCATCTTAATGGGGAAACTAGATCGCCCCGGGCCGCCATGATGCATGATCCTTGCACATTAATGCACATTTCAATATATCTGCGCCCACATGGTTCAAACTCGGGGACCTGATAGCCCACAGTGCCTCACTCTTGATGTGGGATCACAGTATGTGGTGGAGCACATGTTTAAAAATATCACGCTTTACCTGTCAGCTGTAGTCTGTGGTCGTAAATCTGATTCTGTGGAAATGGGTCACTGGGATGTGTAAAAGTGTGTTATAACAAGAAAAACATCCGGCACTAACTACCGGATTTATACATTAAGATCCCACAGGGGACGTAACAATGAGTGTCCTGTGCACATCTGCCAACTGAGAGGCATGTGCGGCTTACTGGCATCTGTGTTTACTCGTCATTTACAAGCAGCTTCATTTACTTCAAAATTAATAATGACTTATTATTTTAAAAAGATCAATCTCAGACTTACCATGAAACACTGAAAACCCACAAAGATAGTGTTCCTTTCTTCTGTGTTTAAACCCCAGACAAGCTGTTTTTTAAAGAAATATGACATTCATATATCCACATATCTATACATACTCTCAGACAACATGAGCAGCCGCCCACCCCCATTCTTTAAGACTTCAGGGTTTGAGGGTAAACTGTATATTTGTGCAATATTCTTCAGCTGGAGAGGAGCCAGGGGGCACGGCACCGCTGACCTGCTTACTGAGAAAAGCCATGATCATGACCTCGGAGGAAAGAGGATGGTGAGTCTCCAGCTGATAATAACAGCAGATATAGAGCAGTCAGATGGCGTCTACATATCCAGTAAAGAAAACAGAACGCCAGCTAGAATCAGGGTCTAGTCTATTACTCTTCACTAGGCTGGCAGCCTTTGACGGATCGATTTAAAAGGCTTCTCCGCATTGCCCCCCGGAGCCCTTTGGACTATGAAAGTAATCATCCGGAGCTAAATACTGACTCATCTGGCATCACTGCGTGTCACATTAGGCAGCCATCAGTAAAAATAACAACCAGTCTGCCCTTATGTATAGAACTGTGTCACGCAATGCTAACATGCTGCAATTCACAGGATGTGTGCAGTGGGGAGGAAAAAAATAGCCCCCCTATTGATTTTATAACCTGAATCAAGATACAGAAATCTGCGCGAGATGACATAATTGTTGTAAACAGATAGGAAATGAAGGAGGAGCCTTGTTGGCTTAAAAAGGTTTAAGAATATTTGAGTTCTGGGGATGGCAGTGTCAGTAGGTAAATTCACCAATTTGGTCTGGACTGATATATCTAATCCATTCAATGGATATTAAATTCTCTACAGATATTAATGTTCCCTGAAGGATGGGTTTTCCTGACTTGTGTTTCTCTGACTTTGCATCTAGCGTCACCATGAGAGGGACATTTGAGTTGTATAGTCAAATATTGTAGATGATTTGGTACAGTTTTTTGGTCAATGCCAAGATATATTTGGATAGAAACCAATAGGGTTTACTTCGGTTTATTGCCAAATTCTTGAGAAAATCTTTTTGATCAGCCTAAGATCTACATAATGTTTAGTGTTAATTTGCACATGTTATCATGCTAAGATACATCTCAAATAATTGCTAAATATCAACATGTTTGTATTATCATCATAATCGTGCTGGGCTGCAGTATGGCCTCTTTAAGCTGCTTTTGGTCCAACATGGCTGTACCTCTGGAATGAGTTGGCCCAAGACCTAAACCTGAGTTCAGACACAGAGAATATTGGAGATATTTCAATATTAAATTCTAGGAATGTTGTTCGGGCTCATCCCAAAAAAGTAAGCACCTTTATTTGTGAAACCTCAGCCTTAATCGAGAGCTCATCAGCACGAAGCTGTTATAGAATGAGACCTAAAATTAGCCGTCACTGTGAGAGAACAAGATCCACCTCCTGAGCCGTTCATCATAACAGAAGCTCTTTCAGCAAGAACTCGATCAGTGCGGGCTCAGGTGACAGAGCTACTTATTGACCTCTCCTACCTCAGGCTCTCAGGATCGGCACTTTTTACACAGATTCTGTGACCTTCCAGTGAAATGTAGACCACTTTCAAAACTGGTTTGAGCAGTTCTCCATCAAATAAAACTGTCATTTGAACCTTGCTTAAAGAAGGGCCGAAACCATAAAGCTTACAAGGGGGATATTATTTCCACCAGCAGCCATTGTGAGTGCCAACCGCCGCCAAGCACGTCTAAGGTGACGGGGAACACAATGAGAAGAGCTAAACGGCAGGACACATTCCCTGTGATGCCATCCCAGAGGTGATACGTGTTGTGCCTTGTTGTGACAGAAATCAAACAGAAATGACGGCTTATATCTTTGATTACATTTCATCATTACAGTTCATGCCGGGAGGAGGTCCCGCTGATTATGCATGTGCTCAGTTTTCACAGCTCATCTGCTCGTCTCTATAGCACCTCCCCCTCTACAAACCCCCATCAAATGCTCAACCAACAAAAGCTTCAATTTCCTCAACTGCTTCACCTGCATCCTAATAACTCATTCGGAAAGTTGCTCATCTTTAGGAAAATACATTCACAATCATATAGGTATGTAAATCGACACTGCCATTAGGTGGAAAGAAATTACTGAAACCGCGTTAAAAGTAAAACTGTCTACTTTTAAAACTAACCTAATACATTTTACATGAAGAATTTGCAGGTTTTTCTTTTTATGCAGTGTAGGAAAAACAACAAACCTTGGGCTTAGATCTTTGCTGTTATTACTAAATGCTAATTGTGCCATGAGATATCACCTCCAGCTCTCAGAGAAAGTGCCAGCGTTAGCAAAGACATCTAATCGTCATTAATCCCTTCAGGGAAAAGTCCCGAACATAGTCTAAAAGGAGATTATTTTTCAGTCTGCTATTGTTTTCCTTTTCTAAAATGTCTTGAGAAATATATTTAACAGGCAAATGAGGCAAAGTTTTCCTATCCTGTAGATGTAGGTCGTCGTATGTTGTTGTACAACTTGTTACCACCTCTGAGACAAATCTGCGAAAGGAAACAAAAACAAACCCAAATCTGACTTTAAAACTGTGAAATACTGTAAATACATAGTGACTACAATGGGGCAGCTTAACCTTCTATAGCGGTTGTCTTAAGTGTTTTGTTTTTTAAATATGATCCCTTCCTGAATGTTATCTGTATTTCAAAGACACTTCCGAACACATCTCTGGTTAAACACACGATTTAAAGAGATGCTTTTGCATGACTCTTTGTTGAGAAACTGTTCTACAGATCTGATGGTTAAATGACCTAATCAATTAGTCAACAAAATAGTATGAGTGTTAATTAACTAAGAATGTTTTCAGTCGATGACAGCCCTAGACTGCAAACTCATCTAAAGACGACCTCTGCCTGGCGTCACCTTGGTGAGGGAGACTGTCCTGAAATAAGCCAGCTGCTGACTCACAGCTCAAAGTGACCGAAGACACTGACTGTAACAAGATCAGACTCACTTTTGGCTGCAGGATCAACATCCTTATGTTATGCAAGTTACACAGCTCCTACTTTTACCTCCCAGCGCAGTGTGCACACCTCTAATGTGGTTCTTTATTAATAGCACAGGAACTATATTCTGACACCAAAGTGGCTCTCGGTAAATGGCTATTGTTCAGCGAATCCATTAGTGCCATTAAACACCATTATGGTTACATAAATGTGAGGTGGGGGGAGCACACTTCAGGGGGTAGCTGGAGAGTGTGCATGCAGTAGCAGGGTGTGGGGGTGGAGTGAACAGATGACTGAAAGGCGATGGAGCAGCTAAGGTGATCCAGGTGAGCAGGAGCTGGCAGAGGTGGGAAGTAATGAAGTACAAATACTTTGTTATTGTACTTAAGTACATTTTTCTGGTATCAGTACTTTATTCCACTACTTATTTTTCTGACGACTTTTTACTTTTACTTCTTACATTTTGAAAACAAATACCTGTACTTTCTACTTCTTACATTTTCAAAACAGGCTCGTTACTTTAGTTTTAATCTGTGTTTGGTGGCGTGATCATTATTATTTAGAGTCATTGCGTGCCTATTTATTTTAACACGATCCGGCGTGCATCCATCATTTCCTGATCTTCTCCAAAGAAGAAGGACCAATGAAAACGTTCTCATTGTTTGCCGTTGTTCAGCATGGAAACATTCATTAGCTAACAATGAAATTATTGTTTTATAAATATAAAGGGGGGTCAGTTACTCTTTAAAACAGCTGGTAGTTATGGGTACTTTTTACTTAAGTACATTTCGAAGCCCATACTTCTTTACTTTTACTTGAGTAAAGACGTTTAGTCAGTACTTCTACTTTTACCAGAGTATTTTTAAACACAAGTATCTGTACTTCTACTTGAGAAAAGGATATGTGTACTTTTCCCATCTCTGGTAGCTGGTGTTAGGGAGGCGGAGGGGCTTACGTGAGAGAGAGGGTGAAGTGGAAGCGCTGGCGGAGGCCCTTGAATGTCAGGAAGGAGTGCGGGGGGAAGTTGCGTGTGGTCATCTCGCAGTAGGGCTTCTCGTAGCCGCTCGACGGACACTCGCACTTAAACCCGCCGACCAGCAGGTTGACGCAGGAGCCGCCGTTCTTGCAGACTCCCGGGGCGCAGCGGCCAGAGCGGGACGACAGCTCGCAGCGATCTCCTGGAGACGGAGAGAGAAATGAGGATTAATATTGTTTATGGCAGACAGCATCACCTCAGACCTGTGGCTTCCACCTCAGGGGACCCTCACTGCCGTTTCCTTTCTGTGCCTGCAGCTGTCCCATATGTGCCTGAAATAAACAGCTTCACTGTTTAAATCATACAGGAGTGGATGGAAATAATAATGACATTGCTAACTAAACAGAAAGCTGACTCAAGAAGTATGAACAGTTTTCTCTTTGACTGTCTGAAGTTTCAATGTTTCTCCATCCTCTGTGTCACACCCAGCGTGACGCCCCCCCTCCCTCCGGGAATATGTAACTTGCAGTTTTTTGCTGCATTCCGATTTACATCTCGATGTGTAAAAGCTGTGAGTTAGAAGTATTTATGCATTCAGACTCTGAAGACATCAAACGGAATTATAGCATTTTCCAAGGAATGCTGATTATTTTTAGATTATTCATACCTTACAATAATGATTAATTTTTTAGAAATAAAAAACAGAATTAAGAAGTAGCGTCCTATCCGACAGCAAATCACATAAAAATATATTTTGAAGCTAAAATACAAAACCATATGCTTATAAATCAGACTTTAAAAAATCAGATGAAATCAAGTTTATTGCATCAGATAAAATGTAATAAATGTAGTCATATTGCCCTGAGCCATTGATGGGTTCAAACACTTTTTCCTCATATCCTGTTAATATAAAGGCAGACAGATTTGTTCTGATGTTCTTTATCTTCTTCGATTACTGAATATGTTGGGGTTTGGAACAACTCATTTGAAGACCATGTTCTTTATAAAGTAAAGAATGATTAACCAAGAAAAATAATCAGATTAATCAATAACAAAACAAAAGCGTTAGTTGCAGGACTTTATCACTGAAATCCCGATGGTCTGTCACACCAGGACAACAAAGCAAACAGTGGAGAGAGTGAGGGGACGTTTAGTGCAGCAGTCAGACGTACAGAGACACTGAGACTGTGTCCTCTGACTGAGACTCTGTCCTCTGACTGAGACTGTCGGCCATCGCCCGGCTCACATGTGCCGTTTGTCCCGATCCTCTGGATGCGAGGCTGCAGCAGTTGCTCAGGCGGGACTGTACGCTCCCATGCATGAGCTGGAATTTGTGTCAAAGCCTCTCAGTCAGCAGAGTGGAAGACTTCCGCTGTGCACCACTGTAACGCTGACACACACCCCCACACACACACACACACACACACACACACGCACACACACACACACACACACACACACACACACACACACACACACACACACACACACACACACACACACACACACACACACACACACACACACACACACACACACACACACACACACACACACACACACACACACACACACACACACACACACCTTCCCCTGATACACAGGCCCTTTATTTACTCTCTCAGTCTCACTATTAATCACTCTATTCACAGTCCTCTGAAAGCAAGTTTGTTTTCTCACTTTGGCTGGGGTGCGCTATTCAGGCAAAGTAAAAAGAAGAGATGCAAGATGATAATGACATGTTGAATTATTTTGATGAGCAGAGATCATTTTGGACTACGACCACGAAGGGTCATTCAGAACACAGCGGCTAAACGTTCAGCTTTCACTTAAAATAAAAAGATTTAAAATCATTGCTTAGTATTAAGGAACAACAAATTAATGCTTTAAAGTTTTGTAATAACAAAATGAAAATAAACACATTTGGGTTGCCAGGTTGTGGAACCACATTCTGCCAACTTGTTTCTCCTGATTACATATTTTTTTAATAATAAGGGAGAAACTCCTCCAGTGAACTTTTGACCTCCTGGAGGAAAGCTGCAGAGCTTCAAGGCAAAACCATTGTTAAAGATTTACTAACATTTATAACTTCAGCACTGAGGCCTCATTGTTAAGCTAGAAGACCCTCAGAGTTTTATTCATGGGGTTTATTTAATTTGTATGTCCACTACCTCACATTGCAAACGTTTGTTAAATTCTTTGTATTAACCACAGGTCTGCAAGACAGTAACACGTTGTCTTTTAACCTGAAGCAATCATTGACAACTTTGTAAGTCTACCCTTCTCCAAAGTGACCATTCACCCTCATGTTCCTCCTGATGACAAACAGCCACTGCTGGCCAGCCGGCTGGAAAGTAAAGCCTTTTCTGGTAGTGCTGTCTGCCTCGCTATTAATTCAGCAACTCACAGTAGGCAATAAAATACTTGTGTTTCTTTAGGCAGTCACAATGGTCGAACACGGAGCTGTATTTATTAGAGCTGCTTGGCTGGCTCAGTCACAATGACACTTGGAAAACACATATCTAACAGCACATTTTGGTACATATGTCTACAGCCTCACTGATTCCTGACAAATGCTTTTCCATGTTCAGCTCATCCCTGTGGGACGTCTCCCTCACAACGGCTTTACGTTGCCAGGTGAGCGGCCCAGCGGGGCGGGGACTGGCTCAGAGTCACCTACAGAGTATCCTGATCAATAATTCAAACACGTCTCCTGTGCTCTATTTACACACCTATATAAGTCCACACACTGAACGCTGCCAGCATCAATCATTAAGGTGGCAAATAACTCAGGAATCCTGTTTTCAGTAAGAGACGATTCAGCACTTTGACAATCTGTACATACAGTATATACTGATTGAACATTTACTGGCATTGTATAAACATGGGGCAAACACTATAGTTTGCAACCACACAATGCAATAACAGAATGAAAAGCTATTGCAAAGGACATATCATATTTACCTTCACTTAATAACCAGGGCTGCACAATGTATTGTTTTAGCATTGACATTGCAATAGCCACAAAGAGAACATGCAATTTCAAGTAAGGCTTCCCACTTCCAAGATTTATCCACAAGAGGAGTCTGTCCGACACAATATTATGTACTCTGATTAAAAGGTTATTTGATACATAACGTTTGTAGCTAGTGAGTGCATACTCATTATTAGCCATCCACCACAACCAGAAAAGGAGCGGGGAATGGGATATAAAACAACAAAAAGTCTGTAAAAATAAAATAAAACTGTTAACGCAGTTGTATGAAAAATATTTTAGCTACAGAGAGGATGATGAACAAAAACAGGTCTGCTGAAAACCCCTGTATCTTTAAAATGACAATATACATTGCAAACAAACAGGTTTTTCCAAGCCCTAACATAACCAGCTCTGCCTATCCATTAGCAAAATTACTCTTGTTTATCTTAGACATAAAATGAAAGTGATATATTATCTGTTATATGGGTTTTTGGCATTTAATGGCACTTAGAGTTCATCATAAATTGATCCATGAGAGACACACGGACACACATACACACACACAATAACAAATGTGACATATCAGCCCGATATGTATGTGGCAAAAACAACCAGGTTCAGAGACAGCTTCATCCCGCAGGCAATAAGACTGTTACACAACTGAACTGCTGAAACAATTTCATAACATTCATCTGCTACTTATTTATCTATTATCTAATATATCATTCCAATAACTTGTATATAGATTCGTATTGCACTATTCCACTTTTTTTTAAAACTATTTTTCTTTTGTATTACTTTTAAGATAGTATATTTTAATATTGTTTTAATATTGTCTGCTTATCTGTATTATTGTGTTGCATTGTTGGAGAAGCCTGTTACCTAAGATATTCAATGACATAATTACTCTGTAGCTATGTTAGTTTGACAATAAAGAACCTTGAACCTTGAACCTTGAACCTTGCTGATTGAACAACGTCCTGAAATACAGTCTGCAGCAGATCTTCACATTAAAAACACACCAGCTCATGTTTGTCTAAGACCAGTAAACACTCAGAAGCAGTGTGCAGTTGTTCAATATTAAATCATTAAACCTGACAAGAGAATAAATAAAAGATGTAGTGTCGCTGTGCACCACACATGTGTTTCCTCAGAGATCTTAAACCTGAGCAGGTGTGTTTGAGCTGCTGGGGAACAGATGAGCTTCATCAACACGGAGACAAAGACAACAAGCTCAAGAGCTGCAGGCGGGATCCACTTCCACTGAAAAACACACAGATAAGTCCTGTGACGACCAGGAGGTCAGGATGTGCGCAGGACCAGGATGATGAGATATGCTGATCAAACACAGATACCGATCTATATCTGAAATCAAATCTTCTCGTCACGTTGAGCGTCATCTAGAGCCAGAAACACTTCTCACGCAGAGCCAAGACCAGAAAAAGTACTACATTAAATACACCTTTCCTTTATTACTTGGATATATTCGTCATATATATATATTTTTTTTCTGTAATTCTGTGATCATTTATGACACTTTGCAGTACTGATTTTTTGCTTTAAATACAGTATGCTATTATGCACCAAACACCAAGGCAAATTCCTTTTCTAATAAGCTTGATCAATCATAATCAAAAACATACTTTTTCTACCTCTGTCTTTCTCTCTGCTTGTTTCCATTCATACATACATCTACTATCTACTACTCATAGAGGCATTCAATGCTTAAGAAAACGTTTTAAAACTCTCAGCGATTGTCCTCATCAAAAGTGATACAATCAGCCAATCAGTTTGAACCAATGCTGAGCTTGTAGATTGTATATTAAATTTAGTTTCTCCATCAGTGTCATTAAATCATTCATCGTCATTGTCATGTCCCTTACATTCCACAGGGTAAGGTCTACAGATATGTGTAACAAATGTAAAAAAGAGAGCACTTGTGAGGGTTTAGGGATCAGTAATGACTGAACATTATGTGTCTAGCAACACATTTGTTTTTGTATCCATGCCATCTCTCAGAGGCAAATTGAAGTGCTTGGCATGTGTGGATTTCAAACACTGGTGTGAGGTGATTTGAAAAAATATTCACAGGATTTTCCTCCAAAATCATGTCTGCAGTTTAACACCACAAATGGATTGTCAATTATTCAAATAATTACCAGAGAAGAAGGAACTTTCTCATCACATGTCAGCAGTTAGCTGATGAATGATCATCACACACACATGGAATATGCTACCATTCAGTGAATTTAAAACAGATGAAAAAAAAGTAAATTGCTCACGTCGTATGCTTTCAGAGAAACATGAGAGAAAAAGGAGGATGACATCTTGTTCTTCAACATCTACAGAATGACTCAGCCGAGCCAAATCATCACAGCAAAGATGATGGCTGCTATATTTTTTCACTTTCTTTCCCGCTACCATCTGGCAACGCCTACGGTCCAACACACACACACACACACACACACACACACACACACACACACACACACACACACACACACACACACACACACACACACACACACACACACACACACACACACACACACACAGAGAAGAAACACATTCATCTCATACAACTCGACATGTTCTGCATATTGGATTTAAGCACCTTGGCCCAAACCACGTGCTGATAGATATTAATGTAGTCGATTGTGGTCCATGCTATAGGATGAAAATACACTCACTTTACCCACTCACACACACCCTGCGTCTCTGCCGATTGACGCTAAAAGCACCTACAGTTCAGCTCCCACCCACTGCTGCTGTGCACAGGAATATGTGAGTGCCACTCAACCTGGACTCAGAGTGACTGAGCCCACACATTCACATGCCCAACACTATTTCAGGCTTCATAAACAGCGGAATAAATAGGTGAAAAATCCTTTTAATGTTTGACGAGGAATAATGGAATAATGTTTTTACAGAGAGCAAAACAGTGGCTTGAATATATCTGTGCTTTCTGCTTTCTTTAAATATTTATTATAACTGAAAAAAGGTTAATATTGTTTAGGCAACACTGATTTTTCATAATTTCTGACTCTCTTTTTTACAATTAAAACACAATGTACCCTTACTTGTTGTACTTAAGTTTTGAATAATCTCAAGTGCAAGACATATTCAGGCCTTCAACTGAAGTAAAATACCAATACGACAGTATGAAATACACTGCATTCTCAATTCAACTTGATAAAATAAATATCTTGCATTAATAATCTGTATGTTAATTTTATTAATAATTAAACATCAGAATGTGTAAAGGGACTAAAGCTGTTGAGTGGAATAAAAGTAAAAAGAGCTGAGATTAAGTAACTCAAAATAGTACATAAGTATGATACTTGAGTTAATGTACTTAATGTTACTTTATATTTAACAAACCAAGTAGTACAGCTTCAAAGACAAGACAAAACTCTAAATCACATTTAAAAGTCAGAGTTTGACCCACTTAACCTCTCAACAAAAAGATGGGGCAACTACCCACATATTCATATCGTATACATTTGCATATTTTAATTTGCTTCCTCTTTAAACTCTTTTCAACTTCTTCCGGTCCCGTAAAACAGAACGTGTGAGCAGACAGTCTTTAACCCTTTGAGGATGTGAATAATTTTTGGGGCAGAGACTGAATAACAAGTCCTGCAACCGGTAAGTAATTCATCTGCCAACAGTAATTAATGAATCCTTAATTAGCGCTGCAACTAGAAGCTTCTGCTCTCTCCTTCATACTAAATACATACTTTGTGTATTGTGACATTTTTGTAACCCAAGTATTTTTACCACGGGGCATTTTACAACCAGGGGACACTCTCCATCTGTAGCCATCAATAATTCATAATTTCCTTCCCTTTTCCACTCAGCGAAACTGATGTTGTTTCCTTTATAAAGTAAAGATTTCTTCGGAGAATCCCCAGCGTCCAAATAGACATGAGTGAGGAAACAGAGCCTTGTTATATCATCTGTCTCCTGTTCTTTGAAACTGTCCACTCCTACAGCTCAGGATGAAGCTGAGAGTGTAGGTGTAAAACACGACAGTATGCAGGTAGTGCAGGTTATTCAACGGCAGCATAAATAGAAATGGATTTTGACGACAAATGCAGCAAAATGAAGTTAAAAAAAACTCAGAAAGCAAGAATAAAACTGTGGTTTAATCCACCTCACTTCTGCTAAATACACCAGATAAAACGCAAACAAACAGACTTAACTAACTGTGGCATTAGGACTTCACAATACAGTATATACATTTTTAACCCTGATTGCGATGTTAACCTGGATGATAAACACACTGTGCAAGACTTATTTTCCACACATTTTTCAAGCATCAGTAGATCAAAATAGCAATTGATCATTCTTTTTTTAATATATTCAACAAGCAATCGTTTGCATTTAAGCAGTAAACTGTTGCATTATCCCAAGTAATGTCTCACCAAGACATTCAACAAAATGATCGTTTGTCACATATTTCCCTGCTAACGGAAGTCCCTGTGTGGCGTTCAGCTCTAATTAAAACATCTACTTTTGGCGTTTACCGAAATGCAAAGCAACTGTTGACTTGAGCTGAGGCTGCCTGCAACAGATCAATAACTCATCACTCAGCCTTTGTCTGCGAGGATACGGCCATCAGTGTACTGGACAGTCAGCGTCTATAAAGAGCCAGGTTCAATAAAGAGCTGAAGAGGGGAGTGAAGGGGACAGATGCGGACATTAAAGCCCCCATGGGATCTTTGTGAGGAAGAAGAAATTAACATTTTGAAGGCTGCATGAGGACACTGCACGGCAGAAATGGTGCCCTATCACCTTGTCGCGATATGTTTGAAGACGGGAAGATTATTCAGTGGGAAGTCACTTGGGACACATAGCTAAACCCAAGGTGTGGAATATATCTAGATATCAAAGGTATTATTTTCAATGTTGTCCAAAATAAAGACCCTCCTCTTACTGATAAAGAGATGGTGTATTGAGGTGATGTGTTGTAGTGAACTTGAGATAACCTATTCCAACTACAAAGGAAGTTTATCAGCCACAAGAAAGGATTTGGAGCAATAAATGTATTACTGTTGTCATTGTCAACTAATGTATGTGCAGTGTGAGAGTTGGAAAGGTTAAGAGCCGCAGCGACAGTCACTTTGGAGTTCAAGTGGTTAATGAAGGCAATAGAAGAGACACAAAAACAGTCACTGCTTCATCAGTTGGTGTTAAATGAGGGCTCTCACCTGTGTAGTCCTCGAAGCACTCGCAGGTGTACCCCCCCTCTCGGCTGCGACACACTCCGTGGGCTCCGCAGGGTTTGGAGTAGCAGAGGTCGATCTCCGTCTCGCAGTAGTCTCCTGTGAAGCCGGTGGGGCAGCGGCAGCGCAGCCCGGCGATGGGGTGGATGGGTCTGAACAGGATGGTGTCGGATGAGACAAACGGCGCCAGGCTGTCGAACTTCAGCACCGACACACACTTCATGTAGTTCTCACACGGCTCCCGCAGGCAGATGTTGTCGTCAAAGGGAAGAACTTCCTGTGAGGAGATCTTAGCAAGGAGGCTGCGGTTTAAATACAGCCTCTCCTGGAGTTCCTCTGAGCCGAAAAACTCTCCTCCGCCTCCACTTTCACCCCCTCTTCCAGCCCGGTCGCCTCCATCTCCCGGACCCCCGGGCCGCTGGTGTCCCTCCCCCAACACGGGCACCGCCACAGACAGGCTGACGTTGAGGATGCGAGCGCTGACGTCCGTGTCGTCTTGGATGTTGAAGATGACGACGTCCTCAGGGGCGGCGGACAGGACGCGGGCCACGCCGTCCAGGAACTGGGCGAGCAGCAGGGACAGGAAGTGCTCCTGGGAGGTGTTGGCCAGCCGCAGCGTGATGCTGTTGGAAAGCATCTCGTCCGTGATGATGGTGACCTGAAGGAGACACTGCGCTGACACCGTGTTTTCACCATCTGATAAAAACAGAGAAAAGGAATAGGTAATGTTAGATTGATGGGACATTTCTTTTAGATTTTCTGAATCTTCAGGTGTTCTGACTGAGTAGGTGGAACGACAAACCCAAAGTTGGGCTTGGGCTTTTTGCTTTTAGGGTTATTTTTTGGGGAAAAGGGTCGGTGGTGGCGGGTGAATAAGAAGAAAACAGGAAATAAATAATTATAATAATAAACTACACGAAGAACACTGAGGTACAGTCATTTTTTGAAAAATCAACTTCACATGAAATATCTGAGGAATAATCAACTCATTCACTTTGTCCAATAGTAAAGTTACAAAGTATAATACTATCTTAGGTTTATTAGCAGCAGGGCATCCGCTGGTAACATAACAAGAGATAAACTACAAAACAAGAACCAGGGTGTTTTTAGGTTGCAAGACAGATCTACCTTGGAAACACAATAACGTCTAGTTAAGTGGTTGAATTCATGTAGTTGAAGCTCCTGAAATATCAATTAAGAGAACTGTGAGTTGGGTTTGTTAACGTTAAAGAAGGAGGCTAGTGATATTCTATATTTCTGAAACAAATCCCATAAAAAGATTAAAAGCACCGTAGTCTGTCTCTCGAGATTTTCTAGCCTTAATCTTTCAAATCCAATCAACAGGAATATATATTGATTTTTATAAATGCACTGTGATGAGTAGATAATCTTATTCTACGAAAAGCTAATTCCCGAGCAGGTGCAGCATCAACACACGGAGCATCGGTTGGACAAAGTAAATGCAGGACTGAAGCAGGTACAGCAGGGAGGAGGACTCATGCAGAAGCTGCTCCTGTATCACTGGCTTCAGGTTTGTTTAGTGGACCCACATGTAAAAACAAGTTGTTGATGTGAAGGCAGTTGATAATGAAGCACTTAAAAGGATACTTTTACCCAAACAGATACTTAAATGGATATCAACACTTTTTTAACTCATATTCTTGGCTCAGACAAGTGTTGCTTTGTGTTTTTCTCATGTGCCAGAACAGATAACGGATGTATGCCAACACTAAGTGTATGATTTCTTTCAATACATTCCAAGTTTCTAATCAGAAATGTCACGGCTGTATTCACAACTCCCTCCGTCTTTGCTTTGTCCGGAAGCAGCGATGCTACTTCATTATACATGCCACGCTAAAGCCTTAAGTCTCAAATTCAACGGTTACAGCATTTCTCAGCTCGGCAAATCTCGTCTTTTATCTTTCTGGTTTCACCCTGTTAATGTGTTATACACTATACTTCTATACATTCAATCCTTTAGCTTTGACTGCAGACATGTAGTGTTTTGTCTGCTTTTATACAGAAGCTCTTCACTGTACAATACCTTAATTCCCGTGTTAGGCTTTTATTAACCAATTCAGACTTGTAATGTAGATTTTGCTTTCATTACATTACATGTCACTTGTTAGACGATTTTATCCAAAGTGACTTACTATTCAATACTGTGGGCAATCCCCACAGGAGCAATTTGGGGTGAAGTGTCTTGCCCAGAGACACAACGATATGCTGACTGCAGTGGAACTCGAACTTGCTATCCTGTGATTCGAAGAGCAGCGCACTAACCCACTGAGCCACAGCCTCCCCTCCCTCAGCGAATTAAACATAAATTATTCTGTTTCATGATGTTGCCTTGCATGGCAAACATACTTAAGCTGATGCACCCCATTTACATTATCTCAGTAAAGATTTTTTCTTACTTTTCTGCTGTAACCACATTTCCAATAACAACAATAAAGCTGCTCATCAGTTGAAAGTCAGTGGCGAGCAGTCAGAGCCCTGCTCGCTGAAGAGTAAACTTATAATGAAAGTAAGATCCCAAACAATCCAAAAACACAAAGGGAGTTGTTTGTGCTGCTAACAAGGAACATATATATGGATCTGATTCAGTTACAGCATGAGGACCTACATGCCCTACATCCAGCAGACAGAAACAAATTACAATTTAAACTGGATCATTTAACTTTCTGCCAGGGCTCAAGAACTCGTTCCGTAGATGCTTGTCAAACATTACATTACATTACATTACATTGCATTGTACTTAACTTGTGATTCCCACTACCTTTAATTTCACTTCATAAAATCCCATCTTTTAAAACTGGAACCAGTTAAGATGTTATTTCTCGCTAACTTAATTCCTTCATCATGATTAATTTTATGTTTATCTCATCATCTGTGACTCTCCTGTTGTGTGATACATGTGTGAAAGAGAAACTCTTGACAGTGTGCCCACCTGATTGTCCCGAATATTGTCATCTGAGAAAAACAAAGTAATATCAGATACACACAAAAAGTATTTAGGTAAGGTTTGCAAACCCTAGCTGCTGATCATACCAGACCGAGTAAGGCTGTAGTAGTAAACTGATAAAGGAGGTTTCCCTGCTGCATGAATTTAACCAACTTAAAGTATTTAATCTCTCAACAGTTACATAGTCTTGTTGAAGGTCACTGAGAGACCACTATCATTTTGTCTATCTCACCGCTAGCCAGCAGTTTTCTGTGGCCTCAAGAGAAAACACAAAACAGGCTTAATCAAATCAAAAGTGTCATGAAAACAAGCCTCTCCCTCCAAATAATCAATGAGCGCTTTGTTTTGGGCGTCTGGACGCCGGCCAGAGAGCAGAACCTGCAAGCAGGGCTCGCACAAACAAACAGCACTGCCCAAAGTTACCAGATCCCTGTTCTGGCACCGGGCGAGTTTAAACACAGAGTGCCAACAGGGGGGAGGCAGAGGAAGAGAGGGGGGGTCATAGAGGAAAAGAGACAGAAGCATGTTTGACACGGCTTTAATCCTTCTACTTTCAGTCAAGCACTTCCAGCACAGTAATAATACAGGGCCTAAGGAGAGGAAGTGGGACAAATCAAAGTACAGAGACGAGGAGGGTCGTTCCTCTAATTCACACTTTACTGTAAACACACACACACACACACACACACACACACACACACACACACACACACACACACACCTGTGCACACAGGAAAACACCGGAAGCCAAGACAAAGGCAGAGGGGCTCTATACTTTCTAACAGAGGAGAAATGTAAGTAGAGATTCACATATGATTGTTTTGTTCAACAGTTAATCCAACCCAGTCTCATGGCATTTCGTGTTCACCAACACGATTTTTAATCTATTGAGTGTTATTGGTAAGTAAATAACAGCGTGTTATTTTGAAAAGAATAACAAATTAGAAAGAAAAAAATATTTTAAAAATACAGATTTCAGTATTCTGAGGCTCTGAGCCCCATTTATTTTCCTCACAGACGGCAACAAAAGTCAGAAATTATACGATTTAAAATAAAAGCAATAATTGTGGCTTGATATTGAGTAAGAACATGTTTTATTGAACCACACAGCTTCCGGTCTTCCTCTAACACGTAATGCCGTGAGACTACCAATAGAAATACATTGCTTTTAAAATCGTGCTGTGCAACACGAAAAAAAGGGGGAAATCGTGTTGGTGAACACGAAATGCCATAAGACTGGGTTGGTTAATCTACCTATTATTCTGATATGCTATCTATTGATGAAAGTGGTTCCCAACATGGCGGTCAAGAAACCTTGAACAGGTTCGATGGATTTTGGTTTTAATAATAGAGTAAGGAATATTAGAACTTATTTAAATCCAGGCCTCTAAAAATTGTGCTATTAACAATCAATGACCATCACAATTTCACAGATCTCAAGGTGACGCCTTGAAGCTTGTCTAAAACTCAAATACATTTATTATAGTAATGAAGTTGTCTGATGTTTTTCCTAAAAATAAGACTTTTATGATTTATAAACAATCACCATGACTTCCTTTCTTAAATCATTGAAGGCAAATTGGAACCCTACATACCAGTAACAATATGTCCATAGGAATGTTTCCAGGTTATAGATAGAAATGTGTTAAAACCTGTACTAAACCTCATTGAAAAGCCGTGTTTTTACACTTTCGCCACATTTAACTGAATCTGAAATCTTTCCTAACATGAAAGAAACAAACCAACAACATCTCCTCTCTCCCTCTGCCAGTTTCCTCCTCGTCCATTCAGCTCATATTATAACTGATACTCTGCAGCAACAGTAGCCAGGAAACACAGCTCTCAGTGAACGGAGGCTCTTAAAGGTTAGGCCACATATAAGGACAGAAATCGCCTTAATTATGTCCTCTGCCAATTTACATTCTTGGTCTGGGTCTCGGGCAGAGGTCCAGACGGAGACGCAGCGCTGGGAAACTGAGCGCGAGGAGAATCTGCTCTGAAAGGAACAGACCATCCTTCAAAGAGGTCATTCTCCATGGAAGGATCCTCCGCTCAGGAACGGAGGGTAAGCGGAGCGTTTTTTGCCAAAAAGGAGGAAGAGGGGGATGCTTAGATGGTGACGAGGTGCCAGCTCTGAAGTGTGACACTACTCTCAGCCCGGAGCTCGACCCCCTCTGGGCCTCTGGGTGCCAGGAATGCTCTCAGCTGGGAAGTGGCGCCAGGGAAAAGATTAAACACACAGTGTGGCTGCAGGACTGCCAAGGCTGTGTACAGCGTTGTGTGTTTATCGGTGTGTGTGTGTGTGTGTGTGTGTGTGTGTGTGTGTGTGTGTGTGTGTGTGTGTGTGTGTGTGTGTGTGTGTGTGTGTGTGTTTGTAGGTGGGTGCGTGGTGGAGATCAATACGTCAATACAGAAGCATGTAGACTGAAACTGTGGCGGTTTAGTCATCGCTGAGGTTGAGGAAAACCGACAACATGACAATAAATAAAAAATAATAGAGTCTATAATGAAGACAGTATCACTGTTATTCGAAAACCTCACAACACCTTTTCTTGATTAAATGTTGATTTAAAGATATTCACCAGATACACAAAACTAAATAGATTTTAAGACTATGTTGCCTGTTTTACCTTTTTTATATCAACTCTTCTAGCACACCAAATGAATACTCTGCTCATTGTCTTATATCAAGTCAGGCAGACTCAGAGACAAGAAATCCTTCATGAAATCTCTGACAATAAACTGGGGAATGTAAACAAGCCGAGTCATTACAGAGAAGT